GACCTTTCCCGGTGTTTACAGCCATGCACGGATCCGTGCCCGCGCTGCCAGGATGCGGCTGAACTTGTTCGTCCTGCTCTGCCCCCCGGGGAAACTGAGGCACGGGTGGGTGGGGAGGGCGGCTCTCCCCGGGAGGAGTTAGAGCTGCTGTGGGAGGGTCCCACGTACCTGCCCTAGTGGGTGTTTGTGGATCCATGGGCCCCAAACATCCCTGCTTCGCTTGTGGGATTTGGGATCCTTCTGGCTCAGCACACAGGGTGCTCCTGCCATCACCCCTCTGTGCTCTTCCCGCAGCGCTCCGACCCTCGCCTGCTCTCCCAGTTCTTCTTTGCCGATGAGAGGGTGACAGCGGTGGTGGCCGAGATCAACGGGCTGGATGCCGAACTGGACCCGCAGCAGTACCTGGTGCTCCTCAACCAGCTCCACCTCAGTCAGGTACGGGGACAGCCAGGACCCTGGTGTGACTTGGTCCCCTGGGACACCATGGGTGACATCCATGCCCTCCCCAGGCTCACCTGCTGGCCATCCTGGAGCGGATCATGGAGGAGTGCATCCCCACGCAGCGGTACAGCCGGGACTACCTAGTCAAGTTCCCCGAGGAGCTCTTGGTGGACAACTTGGGGAACCACATGCTGTTTGCTGCTGAGGTGAGCCCAGGGATGCTATCTGGGAGATCTGGTTCTCTGAGGCTGGGGGGCAATAGGCCCCCACTACCAGCTGACCCTGGGGTTAGGGGCTGCACTGCCCCGGGTGCTGGCTCCTGACGATCCCTGTCCTAGCAGTGTCTCCTGGCTGGGACCTTCCCGGAGGTGGAGGAGGCGGACAGGGCACAGCTGCGGCCCCAGGCCAGGAACCTGCTGTGCAGCCTGGAGCTGGTGCGGACAGTGCTGCGGGAGCAGAGCCTGAGCCAGCCCAATTCCTACCCGGAGCCCGTCCGGGCTGTGCTTATCCAGTTCGACCAGCTCTTTGCAGAGTTTGAGCTGAGGTGGGGGCCAGGGCTGGGGTGCTGGGGGCCTGTGCCAGGACTGGAGGGGCCTCACACTCCCTGCATCTCTCCAGCTATGTGTCCTCGCTGGTGGCAGTGAAGTCTCCCGAGGAGATCTACAGGCAGCAGGAGATCATTGTGCTGTTCTGTGAGACGGTGGAGAGGTGAGTGAAGGGCACTGCACATCAGGTCAGGGTAGCAGGGACCCCAGCCCCAAGGATGGGCAGTGTCCTGAGGCTCAGCCCCACTGTAAGGGGGTGTGTGTGTCCCCAGAGCCCTGCGCCTGGGCTACCTGACCCAGGAGATGATCGATGGCTACGAACCGCTGCTGATGTTCACCATCCCTCGCTTGGCCATTGTCAGGTGGGTGCAGCCCCTGGAGAAGGGGGGATGTTCCCTGCCCTGTACCAGCCCTTTCTCCCTATGGGGAACTGGGGTCCTGGGCAATCCCTCATGTAAGTTGAGCTCTGTCCCCTCACAGCGGCCTCCTCATCTACCCCGAGGGTCCCCTCAGCCTGGAGCGGAGCCCTGAGGAGATGTCCCGGGTCTTCAGCCCCTTCTACAACCTCCTGAAGAAGATCAGGTATGCAGTGGGGGGCAATGGGTGGGGCCATGGGGCAGCAGGGGGGCCGTGACATGGGGTTAATGCCGTCCCCTTGCCTCAGGGAGCTGCTGCGGGTGCTGTCAGTGGAGGAGCTCTGCCTGCTGGAGAGGAGCCTGTGCACAGCTGAACCAGAGGATCCCTGTGGTCCGGACATCACCCCAGTGTGGGGAGCAGCTGTGCCCAGAGAGGACCCCCCTGCTCCCTTTGGTCTCCTGGACATCCCCTGTGCCACACCACCAGCCCTCACCTGCACGACGCTACTGGGACCCTCTGGTGCCGTCGACAACCCAGGCACCGACTGGCAGTGGGGGTGTGTGGTGGGCAGGAAGCGGGGCCGAGATGGCAGATCCCTGTCCACTGGGACGGGACATCTCACACCACCCCTAGGGTAACTGTCACCTCCCCTCTGTGCAGCCCCCAGATCCCCAGGAGCAGCCCAGGGATAGGTGCCACCCTGGGTGCCCGCTGCTCAGAGCTGCGCTGCCGGTACAGCAGCACCAAGGACATGCTGCACACCCTCTTTGTCTGCATCTCTGGTGAGTGACCCCCGAGACCCCCCAGCACTTGAGCTCCCCAGCACCCTGACCCCCCACCCTTCTGGTGCAGGAGTTGCCGATCAGCTCCAGACCAACTTTGCCAGTGACATGCGCAGCATCTTGAAAACGGTCTTCAAGATTGTGGCCTCGCAGGCGGAGCCCTTGGAGGAGCCCAGTGCCAGCCGTGAGTAATCCCCAGAGAGTGAGAGATTGCTCCTCTGCCCTGCCCAGTGCCCATCCCTGGTGAGAGAAGGCCACAGCCCCAGGCATGGGGAGGACGTGGCCATACTGCCTGTCCCTCGTTTGGCTGTTCCACCATAGCGCTTGTCCCTGCAGGAAAGAAGGATGATGACTCCTGTGTGGCAGATGCTCCTCGTGTGGCCGACTGCCCACTGTGCTCCAGCCCCACAGAGGCTGCCGGGCTCTGGAGGGCAGGTAAGGGGCTGCCCAGGTGCCATGGCTCTGGGGTAGGTGTGAGGCTGGGACTGATCCTGCCCCCATTCTGCCGGAGGGGGTCTGGCTTTGAGGGGGGCTGGCACAGGCGGGTTTTACTAATATGTTTTGCCCAGCAGGCACTCACCGCCTGCCTGAGTGGGTGCCCGACAGCACGTGCAGCCAGTGCTCTGCCTGCCGCTC